ATAGAGATAAAGTCCATGTTTCCTTTATCAGTGTGCAGAAAAACCCTACATTGAAAGTTTGTATCAGTGAGTGGATTATACGTGATCCACATGGCTCTACTATTATAAGACAATATCAGAGACCCAACAATATGGAGGTGTGGGTGCTGGTTGATCTCTGGGAAAGGAAAAGCCACCCTTCTTAACTTCTTCTTAGCTAAGAAAGATAAGAAAAACTCTCACCTCACAAATGCTGTCTTCAGTTCCCTACTATTATTAGCATAGAGTTGAACTAGTTCAGGAAATTCTGGTATCTGCTTAGGTGAACTAAGAATGTTAGAAACAAATATTAGAAATGATCTTTTCTTGGACCTGGTGAATTAAATTCCATGAGATTCAAGGAAAATAACTTGGCAGAATGTCATTTTCAGCTAGAAAGCTAATTGACATGGTAAGGCAAGGAGAAGGGGGCAAAATTAAACCTTTAGTAGTTAATTTGAAATTTCTGGTAGCTAGTTTTTTTATAAAGTGCTGGATATCTTTTCATGATTTCTCTCTGTCTATCTACCACCTATCTGTAAGATTAATAGAGACATTATTTTGGTTTTTTTATTGTTATTGTGCTGGGGGTACAATGTGACATTTACAAAAGTTCCTACAATATATTATAGTTGAATTCACCCCCTTCATCATTCTACTTAATATTCCCTACCGCGTTCCTGGAATAGTTTCAATAGGTCTAATTTTTGCATTTACATATACTTTTACACAAAATTTGAATCATATTCACCCTCCTACACCCTCTCCCCCAAACCTCTCCCCTCTCTGTTCTGTCCTCTTGTTCACTGTTTTTGTGGAAAATATGACATTTTTTTGGATTAAGATAGGTATGCCTTGGTTTCCTTTTGACATTTCCATGTATATGTACTATAATCCAAATTGGTTCATCTCTTCTATTTATCTCCTTTCTACATTCTCCTTCTTATGGTGAATTCAACGGGTTTAAATATTTTGTATTCATTTTTGTGTAGGAGCTACATCAACCATATGCATATTCTTAGCTTCTTCTACACTCCCTCTCTTTTATGTTACTTCCCCTTATTGTTACCTGTTTTCATATTGCTTATATTTGTACTAGGTCTATATTCCATGTATAAGAGAAAACATACATCCTAATGCCTTCTCAACCTGTCTAATTTCACTTGTGATGATGTTCTCTAGTTCCATCCATTTACCTGCAAGTGACAAAATATCATTCTTATTTATGGCTGAATAAAATTCCATTGTATATAAATACCACATTTTTAATCCATTCATCAGTAGTGTAGCATTTTGACAGTTTCCATAGCTTATTTATTATAAGTAATGCTACAATAAACATGGATGTGCAAGTTCCTTTATTGTAACCTGACTTACATTCTTTTAGGTATATTGTCAGGATTGGTATTGCTGGATCTATTGCAGTTGTATTTTTAAGTTTTTGAGGAGCCTCCATCCTGTTTTCCATAGTGGCTGTATTAATTTACATCCCCACCAACAGTGTATGAGAGTTCTTTCTTCCCCACATCCTTGTCAACATTTGTAGCTATATAGTCATCATGGTTCTTTAGGTTACTTTTGGCTTTGGCATTTTACCAACATTTTCTTCTTTTTGATGAATATTAGGAGCTAATTGTATCATATGATGAAAGACTAATGCTTAATGTGATGATATTTGAAAATGGGTCCTTTGGGAAATAATTAGATTTTAATGATATCATGAGGATGAAGCCCATGTGATGTGATTGATGCTGTCATAAGATGCAGTCCCCCAAATACCCCCTCTCTCTCTCTTTTAAATGAGAGGAAAAGGCCAGAAGCTGAATGTGTATAGTCAAGGAGAACCTTTACCAGAGCTTAGTCATGTGATCTCAACTCATGTTTTCTTTGTTTTAAAAATAAGACTCTATGAATATCTATCTTATTCTCCACCAGTGTAATCTGAATAAGCAGTAGTTAATAAAATGAAAGAAAGTAAACTGAGGTCATTGGGGCAGTTATGGAGCAAAATTATAAAGTTTAAAAAAGTCTCAAAGATATGACAACTCATTAGAAACTGACTTGGACAAATTTATTAAACTTTCATATTCTTGCCTTGTTAATTGGGATTGTCTCCAAACCATGTACTGCATGATTTTCTCATATTATGGTATCTTAATGATTCATAGTAGAAATTTGAGTCCTGTTATAAGGAATTATTTTAATTCTTTTAATTTAAAGATATAATTGCACAAAATTATCTGCTCATAGCAAAACAAAATAGAGATCATATAGATTAAATGGAAAATTAAAATACATATTTGATTGTCAATATTTCTTAAACTATGTTAAAATTCAATATCATTTAAATAATTTGCTTTAGATAAAAAATACCTTATACTATCAATAATATCCAATTGACTAATGACACTTTTTTTTTTTAGTTTCCTGTACTTTGTACATAATATCAAGTTTATAATTTATCTTTCAAATATGCTTTCAGATTTCTGGAAACTGAAGTCTGGGCAGCATCTTTGCTTTTTGTTATTTCTGTTGTTTTTCATTCATAATCAAATTATTTTCTTGCTTTTAGATGCCAAGGATCTCTGACTCAGAGATCTATTGGCTCTTGAAAAATTATAAATAAGATAAAGACAACTGACCACCCATGTTTTTGCAGCATTATTCACAATATCTAAGCTATGGAAACAGCCAAGATGCCTCACAACTGATGAATGGATTAAAATGGTCTCTTTATATACAAAGTAATTTTATTCAGCCATAAAGAAGAATGAAATTTTGTTGTTTTTAAGTAAATGGATGCAACTAGAGAACAATATGTTGAGTAAATTATCCAGGTTCAGAAAGCCAAAGGCTACATATTTTTTCTCATATGTGGAATAGAGGCCCAATATAATTATAAGCAATATTATACATACACAGAAATAAATACACAGCATGTATCCAAAGTGGGACTGACAGAAGAGAGCAAGGGAGGAGGAAAAGAAGGTAAGAAAGATAGTGAATTATAATGAAACACAGCACATCTGTGTAGGAACTAGATACATGAAACATGCTGAAAACCGTTAACACAGGATGGGGAAAAATGGTGAAAAAGTAAAGCAGAAGGTGACATTGACTTAAGCACAATGCATGTACATGTATAATACCAAGGCAAAAATCCCACTGAACAATGAACAGACACCTAAACAATGAAGAACAATGATGAAAAACAGGTCTAAGGGGGAGAGTGTTAATGGGAAGGGAAGGGTAAAAGAAGGAAATAAAGAAGGTGAGTATGGTTTATTCACTTTCTATCAAGAATGAATAAAGAATTTTTAAACCCGTTGATATCACTATAAGAACAGGACTAAAGTAGAAATGTGAAAAATGGAAGAGTTGAACAAATTCAGGATACAATACTTACATACACAGACAGGCCATAACAAAACTCTCAGTATAAATATTTTAAATGCATAAAAATATCTTTGTTTTTCAAAAACAGAGGACAGAAAGGTAAAAGAGCTCCTGTCTAAGGATTGGTACTAGTGGGAGGGGCAAGATATAAGGAAGGGGTGTAGGAGGTGAATGTGGTAGAAACATTCTGTACTCATGTATGAAAATGGACGAAGGAAGCCTATTGAAACAATGCTAAGAATAGAGTGAGGGAGAATAAAGGAGAATGATGGGGGTGGCAAATGTAACAGATATATTGCAAGCACTTTGTGAATGTCACAGTGTACCCAACAATAGTATGATTATAAAACATAGAAAGAAAGAAAGAAAGAAAGAAAGAAAGAAGGAAAGAAAGAAAGGAAAAGAAAGAAAGAAAGGAAAATTTATTTGTTAGGTTTCTTGAGGAGTTAGGATGTCCAGGCCCTTCTTTAGAGAGGTTTTCACACGGTCACCTGATCAGTAAGGTGAGGTTGGCTAGTTCTATACATGTGTTTCCAGGGTAAAAATCCTTGGCAGTGTTTCTTTACAGCCATTACTTACTGAGGTAACCTTGTTTCTTTCTTTTTTTCGCTCTCCCTTTTCCAATTAATTTAGAGCCAACTTTTCAGTTTCTGTAAGTGTGATACAGAAAGGATCCAGTTTCTCTTCACTTCTCAGTTTGAGATTAGAGACCCTCTGACCACAGGCTTAAATTAGTCTCACTTGATTCCTCCTAGAGTGAATTCCAGGCCTGTCTTTGTCTCTCTGGCCCATGCATTTCAGGGAAACAGAGGCTCAAGTGTTTGCAGTGTTATTCATTGGCTTTAGAATAAGAATAGATTTTGAGCTGAGGTAAGTTTTTGGTCATAGATTAAAAAAAATTGATTCAAAATTGTCACTGTGTTTTTGTCCTTTACCTTGTTTTCTTTACCCATTTCTGCCCTGTACACTCTTAATCCACTTTTCTCCTCTCTTTGTTCCTTCCTGCTTCTGTCCTCTCCCCTTCCCCTTTGTTTCTTAATTTTGTTGTTGTTGTTTCTCAGCATTTTTTATTATTTTACCGGGATTGTTGATGTGAGGTCTCTAGCTAATTATTTTTATAAAACTCAACACATTTAGACACATTTTAAAATTTTAAACTGAAGCTCCAACCTCACCCCTACATTTTTTTTGTTTATTGTTTTTTGAGACAATGTCTCACTATGTATCCCAGGGTGGACTCAACCAGGCTTAGCTTTAGCTTCCTCCCTCAGCCTCCTAAAGCCCTTCTTTAGATCATCTCGTGGTTTGTGATTTAGAACTTCTAAGTTGACTAAGAGCTTTCAAGTTCACCTGAGAGCTTCAAAGTTAACTTCTATATGTTTTCTAGTGGCAAAATTGCACTTTCTCTGATGATATTTTTGGCTCTTGATTTACATCAATTATTTTCACAACCCACTTACTTAGGCAATTTGCTTATTTTCTGATTGTTTTGCATAGTCCCTCAGGCCAAGTCCTGCTACTCATAATTTATAAACGTGGTCTTTGCACTGAGAACTGAGTTGCATCAGGCAGGCAGGGGCAGCAAGATGATGTCACAGACCCAGGTCCTCATGTCCCTGTTGCTCTGGGTCTCTGGTGAGAAACTTATTCAGTGCTTCAATTCATTTGAATATCTTTGTGGAATTGAAAAAATGATTTTTAGATGCACTGAGGAATAAGGACTGTTTTCAATTTGGACTAAATGTTGTACTGTGTTATAATACCATTAAAGTGCATTTAATTGCCACATTTCAGTGTGTGTATGATCATTGTTCATTCCTGATTGCAGGTGCCTGTGGGGACATCGTGATGACCCAGTCACCAGGCTCCCTGGCTGCATCTGCAGGACAGAGGGTCACTATGACCTGTAAGTCCAGTCAGAACATTGGTAAAAATATAGCCTGGCACCAGCAGGAACCAGGACAGCCTCCTAGACTGCTGATCTATGCAGCCTCTAGCCAGGAGTCTGGGGTCCCTGACTGCTTCAGTGGCAGTGGGTCTGGCACAGATTTCACTCTCACCATCAGCAGCCTCCAGGCTGAAGATGTGGCAGATTACTACTGTCAGCAGGGTTATAGCTCTGCACCCACAGTGATTCAGTCTTAAACAAAAACCTCCTCCCCAGGCCGTGGGTCAGTTATCTTTGCAGCACCAGCTACTTCCTCCTCACATAAACCTGACTGCACATCTATCCTGTTTGTCTAAAAAAGTTGCGTTTGTTGATGTAGTAATTTGGGGGTTCACAGGGTGCAGGAGAAAATTCAGGAAGTGGCTTTTATCTGGATCTCTTTTCATTGGAGATTATTGAAGAAAAATGTAAGGCTGTCTGAGAGATCATTACGAGTTTTTGAGTTATAGAAATTTAACTGTTTTTTGTGGCATATTACATGACTAAACCAAGAAACCTAGTTTTTACCCTTTAGAGAAAAGTCTACTGTGTTTTACGTGCTTACAGATCAATTCTTCCCTGGACATCCTTGAATCTCAAACAGTTCCATTTTGACTCCTTATTCCTCTGGTCTTTTTCTTAACCTATAATCACCTCCCACAACTATTTTCCTTAGTATTAAACACTTGACTCTTGTACCAAACCTTGGACAAGGAATTTATTTCTCTCTTGTTTCTTTCTTCCACATACCCTGTTTCCCAGCTGAGCCTTTCTAGTCAGTTTCACACAAAATACTTTCCTACTCTGCTTCTTCCTGAATTACACTTTTCTCATCCCTTCATTTTTTTCTGACATACTCTTTCTCTCAAAAGCAATCCTTGAATTCTTTAATTCAATCACTGCAGAAACATTTGACAGAATTTCCAATTAGACGTTCTCATCAATTTGTGATGGATACTGTGGTCATATGTCCAGTATAACTTGAGTTTTTAGAAGGCATGAAATTAACATGGATGTATCAGTGTAATGTGATCAACTCCAGTCATCCTAGTCACCCTTATCATCCTCCCCATCTAAAATGCTTGTGAGAATGAAATGTAGTTCCAAATAAGATCTCTGCAAACTTGAATAATACATTCTTTCTTATACAACAGCTTCTCATACTAGTGAAAAATATTTTAAAATATAGATAATAAGAAGTCTACATCATCTGTTTATTTAGACTGTTTACTGAGTGCTTTCTATGTGTCAAGTTAAAAGTTATCAAGTTTCATTCTACTTGGGAAAAACAAATAATTAATAACCCTTATTGGACTGTAGTAAATGAGTTATTAGTAAGCAGTACAAAGAACGTACAAAATCAGTTGTATTTTGTTTCATAAATAACTTAACTGAAAAGCAAAAGAAGAAAATAATTCTATTTAAGATAGTATCCAAAATAAAATAATTCCAAAGTTTGGTTTATACATGTAATACAGATACATTTGAAAGGCACAGGTTGAGACAATCAAAGTTCAATGATAACATGAGCAAAGTTAGTGAGACCACACATCAACAAATAAGTCAGGCAGTGGTGATGCATGACTAATCTCAACTATGCACGAGTTACAGGTAGGAGTATAGTGTACAAAAATGGGCATTGACCAAAACAGTAGAACCTATTTGAAAATAACCTAAAAACAGAAAGGTCTGGAGGTATGGTTCAAGTGGTAGACTGCTTGACTATCAAGCATGAAAATTTTAGTTCAATCCTTGGAACTGCCAAATAAAATAAAGTAAATTAAAATAAAATAAATACTTAAGTACCAATTTAGCCAAAAAAGTGAAAAATCTATGTATTAACACCCATGAAACTCTAATGAAAGAAATTAAAGAAGACATAAATTAATGGAAAGATATCCCATGGTTTTGGACTGGAAAAATTAACATTGCTATGTTTATGCGACCCAGAACAACATACACCCTCAAAACAATCTGTATAAAAATTTCAAAGGCATTTTCATAGAAATAGAAACAGTAATTCTTTTAAAAATACTTTTATTAGCATATATTAGTTTTACAGAGTGTTTTATTGTTACATTTCCATATATGCTTACAATTTACCCACCATCAGTTAGATTGATACCCAACATCATGTTCTCTTATACCCCTCCCCACTATTTAAAATTATTTTGACAGGTCTCAAGGTTCTATATTCATACACATATATAAGGTACATTGACAATATTAATCCTCCTTTACCACCTTCTTTAGTCCTTCCCCTCTTGCTAGTACATTCCCCCTAGTAGAATCTGTTTTATATTGTTGTTCTTCATTGTTTAAGTTTATGCTTATTGTTCAAAGTGGTTTTTGCCATGGTATTTCACCTGGGAATATATTGCACTTTAATCAATCTAACAACTTCTATCACTTTATTTGATCCTTTTTCCTCCTCCTCCTCCTGTTGTTCAACAGCTAGAGAAAGTAATTCTAAAATTACTTTGGAACTACAAGAGACTTTGAAGAGTCAAAGCAATATTTAGAAACAGAATAAAAACTGAAGGCATCACATACCTGGTTCTAAATTACATTAAAAAAGGTAGAGTAATCAAAACAGCATAGTATTGGCATACAAATAGTACATAGATCAATGGAACAGAATAGAGAATCCAGAAATAAACTGGCATATCCATGGTCTACTAATTTTTGAAAAGGTCATTCAGAGGACGTAATGGAGAAGGGTTAATTTGGTGAAAGAGTGGAGAAAAAAAATTCTTACACACTTTTGCTGGGAGGGTAGCTTGGTATTGCCATCTTAGAAAATATCATAGACCTGCCTAAGGAAATGAAAAGTGAAAAATAGATCTGTCAGATGACACAAAAATTCCTTCTTCAGGGTATTTATCCAAAGGAAATGAAATAAAGATTACATCACTTCCATATTCATTGAAGCATTATTCACAGCAAGCAAGATATGGAAATAACCAAAGTGTCTATTGATGGATGAATGGGAAAGGAAGATGTGATCTTTCTCTCTGTATATATATATATACACACACTATTCATATACATATGCAAAATGGAATGTTATACAGCCTTAAAAACATCAGTGGGGAAATAAGGGGATGGACAATGGGGACATGTATGTGAAAAAACACAAAGTTACTAGACATATGGGATGAATGAGTCTAGAGAGTTAGTATACAACATGACGACTATAGTTAATAATATTTACTGGATCTGATATTTTTTGATGAAAGAATAAAATTTTAGTGGTCTAGTAACAACACATAAAAAGAGTATTAGAGATGATGGGTATTTTCATCATTTGAAAATAATATCAATGCCTTGTCAAAATATATCAAAACATGCTGCACTAGTTAAATATATTCAATAAAAAACAAATGATTAAAAGCTAACCCCCAAACGAATCAGTAAATATAAAACACTGCAGTTTCAAAGTGCTATGATCAACAAGGATACAAGGAGGGATCAATAATTGGGGACATTTTCACAATTGATTTACCATAGGCAGTCATGGAAGTGTCACTGAGAATGGCATGCTTTAATTAAAGTCTCAACAACGGTGAGGAAATGACTTTTAGGAATATCTCTAGGGAATACTATTATATTTAGAGAAAATAATATGTTTCTGAGACAGACTAATGACCAATATGTTGGAGAAATAGAAGAATGCAAATATTGCTGAAGTAGATCATAGAAAAGCAAAGTAAAAAAAAAGTTAAATAAAGAGGTCATATTATGAAGATCTTTGGAGGCTACTTGAAGGACTTGAATTATATGTATAAGAGTTTTGAATAGAGCAGATGTGATCAGATTTATAGTTTAGAAGGATCTTCGGGGTGAGGGTTATGGACACACAGGAAAGAACTGATAGGAGGCCAGTGCTTAATTATCTGGAGAGGTGATTGCTTTGGTGCAAGAAGTTTGGAGTGGAAGCATGATGAGTGGTCTGTATTGGAGATAGATTTTAGCGCTATCCTGATGATCTTACCCAGGGGTGTGAGAGAGAAATCTCATGATAACTCTGTCATTTCTCTTTGAACAACTAGAAGGGAAGCATTGGCACTTGTTTAAATAGAGTAGTCTGGGACAAAAAATTTAAGGGAGGAAGAGCAGAAATTTGTTTTTGACACTTCAGGTTTGTGATGTGTGTTAGACCTGCTTTGTAGAATGCTATGGCAAGATTATAGGGAAGATCTATTTTTAGTTTTTTGGGGGAGAACCTCTAAATTGATTCAGATTGTGGCTCTTTCCACCAACAGTGTAGATGGGTGCCTTCCTCACCATCATTTCGTGCTTGTTTTCTATATGTAATCATTCTGATTTGCAAGGTGGAATTTTACTGATTTATTTATTTACGTATATTACTTGCACAAAGGGTTTTATTGTGATTTTTTAATGCACATAATGTATCTTTATTAAATTCAAGTCTTCTGTCACTCCTTGCTATTCCTGCCTTCCCTGTTTTACAAACAATTTTTAACAGATTTCATTATTGTATTTTCATATATGCATATAAAGTATTTGATCTTTTCCCCCATCACCTTCTTCTTTCACCCTCTGCTTGAATGGTTCCTTCTCTCAAAACAGTCCTGGTTTTATATTCTTATCATTCATTTTCTTATAGGTCTAGATTTTGTGTATGACAGAGAACATGCAATGTTTATCTTTCTCAGTCTGGCTTATTTTGCTTAACATGATGATGATCACTTCCACCCATTTTCCTTCAAATGACTTAATTTCATTCTCATTCATGCATGAATAATATTCCCTTGTGAATATATACCATACTTTCTATAAGTTCATCAACTTATGAGCATCTAGGTTGATTCCATAGTTTTACTCTTTTGAATAGTGCTGCCATAAATATGGGTATGCAGGTATGCTATTGTATGCTGACTTACATTCCTCTGGATATGTGCCCAAGGGTAATATTACAGGATAACATGGTAGTTATATTTTAGTTTCTTGAGGAGTCACCATGAGTATGGATTTTCATCATGGCTGTACTAATTTACATTCTCATGAACATTGTATAAGTTTCATCTCTCCTCCCATTACCACCAGCATTTGTATTTGGTTGGTTTCTTAATGACTCAATCTGTCTTAGGTGAAATGGAATCTCAATGTTGTTTAGATTTACATTTCCTTTATAGTTAAGGATGCTGAACATTGTTTCATGTAGATTTTGGTCAGGTGTACTTCTTTTCAGAAA